GTGTTCTCAGGGGTTATGGGCTGCCTTCAGCTGAAAATATCAATTCCTTTGGGTACTTCAGCAGCTAAGTTCCTTACAGAATCAACATATTCCCTGTACACATCAAATTCTGCTTACACGAACTATGTCGTATCAAGGCTTCAAAGTCCTCCAAGTTTCTTGTTCAAAAAACTTTTTACTGAGCCCCATCATGTTCTAGACACTCTTGAGTATAAGCATATATTAAGAAAAAAGCTTGTGTTATCTGCCATCAGGTAACCAAGTCTTAAGGTATGATAGACAATTACAATTCAGCATGACACTTCCAAATGAATTACACCTGGTTCTTTAAGAATACTTGCAGAGGCACTGAACCCAGCCTGGTGAATCCAGTTAGAATATCCTCAGACCCAAATCTACTAACACCAGCACTTGTCATGGATATATTAAACTGCTAACTGAGCCCAAGCAAGGAACTCCAAATTCTTAAATATAGCTGGAGAAACTGAATATGAAGGGACAGAAAGGCAAACAGTCCCACTAAAGAAAAGGTAAATGAAATAATTATAGAGGACCCTACATGCCATCCTAACAATTTTTTGAGCATATGCTTTGTACCAAGCATCCTAAAATGTTTTCTTGCATTTACTTTTCACAGCAACCCACTGAACTAAGAATAATTACCCTGCAACTCATGGAGGAGGCAAGGAGAGGTGAAATCGCTTGTCAATCTTACTGAGGTTGTGGCAGAGACAAAATAGGAACCCAGTTCAGATTAAATCATAAAAGTGAGCTCATAAACTCTGCACTCTGCTGCCTCTCTTAACGAAAGCTGCTAGGGGGAGCCATTGAAAGGTTTTTAAACTAAGGAGTGAAGTGATCAGATTCATTCTTCAGAAAGACTATGTGGAAGTTGGACACAGAGGGTACGTCTACAAGCAGAAAGAGAAAGCCGCAATGTCTATAGTAAGACAGGTGAGAATGATGACAGCATGAACTGTGGCAGTGAGGATGAAAGAGACAGATTCAAGAGTTTTTCAGGAGAGAAAATTATCAGCTCTTAGTGATTAAATGTAAAGGATTAGTTTTAGAGAGAACACCTGGTTTGCAGAACTAATGGGACATGACATCACCTACCAGGAACAGAGAAGCAACAGGTTTTGTTTGTTCAATAAATATCTACAGTGTCTCCCAAATGCAAGACTCTCCTAAGCCAAAGGTCAAGTCCAAAATTAAGGTCCTGCTTGTTGGACAATATTGAGAGTAAATGATAAAGCATTAAAAAATATATCAGGTATACTGAAAATTAGTTGTCACTATTAATATTCTGGTCTAGTCTAGTGAAAACATTTTGTGCTACCATTTTAAAGAATTACTACGTGCAGAAAACAAGTCAACAGAGGAAAAGCATCCCACAATTTTAAATGCTATTACATTTGAGTCTGACAGATCTTCAGTCTCTTACACAACACACACATACACACACCACCTTGTAATTTGTTTTACTTATCCATGTCCCTTTTAAAAAAAAGGAAAGAACAATTTTACTACCCAAACTATAGTACATATTCAAGGGGTTTTCATCCTACGATCACCACTGTGATTTCCCAAGAACTTAGTTCATAACCTTCTATGTGATTTTCTATAAAATATGACATACTTCACATCAGCTTATTTCAGTGTGAAAGTGAAGTCGCTCAGCCACGTCCAACTCTTTGTGACCCCATGGACTGTAGCCTACCAGGCTTCTCCATCCATGGGATTTTCCAGGCAAGAATACTGGAGTGGGTTGCCATTTCCTTCTCCAGGAGATCTTCCCAACCCAGGGACTGAACCGGGGTCTCCCGCATTGTAGGCAGATGCTTTACCGTCTGAGCCACCAGGGAAGTCCAATTCTTATTTCAGTAAGAATTCCTAGATTTTTAGCCACACCTTTCATCCAAAGATGCTTTCTGCAAATCCTAAGGCACAGCAGTCCTATGCAGATGTGGCAAGTTACTACAATTCCCATTTTACTACATAGTTAGGAAATTGGCCCAGGGAAAGCAGAGTAACTTGGAAATAATCACAAAGCCAGATGCCAAAAATAACAACTTTTAGTCAATCCATGAGAAAATACTGCCCCTAGTTGAAATAACATGAGATTTCGTATTAGGAGGAAGCAAAATATAAAATCATGATTTAAAGCAAAGTCCTAGGTTTTTTAGATACATCTTTAAAAATGACTGAATACTACAATTAAGATTTGCAAAAACTTTCAAATACCATTTCCCCCCTAATACTTTGTCCATCAAGAGTGACAAAGAAAAAAAAGAGTGGCAGAGATTATTTAATGAACTACAGCCGGCAAGAGTGGCTTCCCCTCTCCCCAAATTATTATCTTAGCCACTTAAGATACTTATAGAAAAAAAAAAAAGATACTTATAGAAATCTGTTGGTATAGAAACACAGGTAAGTTTTAAACTTATTTAAAAACCATATGTTAGAATAGTTGTGAAAATAGTCTAAGTGGGTCTCTCATACTTTTTCCTGAAAATATACTCTACAGACCCATCTGCAATTTGCATGCACAATAAATTTAAAGCTTTAATAGTCAATAATCTGAAAGTTTCCCAATCACAACTCATGCTGTATGTTTCCAAATATATACTGTTTGATATAATTTAATAAAGGTGATGTTTTATTTGGTCACGAATAAAGGTCTTACACAATTTAGAAACAAAAAACACAACTTGATTTTTTTAAAGTTGCTTTTATGATGTTTGTGTTCTCATTCTTATCTGCACAAGTCAGAGCAAAATACCTTCCATTAATACAAGGCATTTACACTTTGCTTGCAGTCATAAACAACAGTATGTGCTCAAGATTTTACTTTCAAAAGAATGAGTTTGCACTAGGAACAAATAAGGAAGACAAAATGATTGTTGGTGGAATCCACTCATGGAACCCAGACTGCAAATTTTCACACAAGCCTCACGTATCAATTATGAAAGGTGATTTTCAATTAATTAAAATTAAACTAATTCAAACTAATTCTAATCACCGCCTTAAAAAGAATGCTTTCCACAGCAGCAATATTCCTCATACTTGTATATCCTCTACTAGTAGCACTTCTCATGGTTTATAAATGAAAAGACACTTCAAATGATTTTATAGACACCATATCTTCTAAAGTAATGATCAACTAGTGGGGGGGACACCGTCCTGAACAATATATTCAGTCTAGTAACATCGCAAAATCTAATACCTATTATTCCAGGCACCAGAATATTTAGGCAATATTTAAGTACATCAGACCACCTTCCCCCAACTCCCACACAAAACTCCAAGCTTTTAATATTTCCATAACAATAAGCACTCTGAACAAATTAAAGCTCTTTTTAACACTAGAAGCCCTTTTACCTTAAAGATTATCACTTAAATGTCTTTTAACTGAATTTGATGAATGCATTCCACAAGATTCTAGAAGCAGTATTCATCAACCCAAACAGCACTCTTAAACGCTTTCCTCATTTCAACTTCAAAGATGAGGCAGAAGGGCTGTCATAAATCTAGAGGCAAAAGCACATAACTGTAAACTATCTAAAAATTAAGAAAAGGTAAAACAGTTGTATCAAATTCCAAAGCAGCAAAATTCCCTCCCTTTTTCCTTGCAAAGTGGGAGTTACTGGTAAAATAACTGAACTCTAAATCTAGAATCTTGAATTCTGAAATTCTCCACCCCAGCATTCACAAGTTTTTCAACACCAAAATGCACTCAACTGCTACGCACACACCAAATGAATATCCAACATGAAAACTGAAAGTATTCTCACACATCAACAAAAAAATACACCTTGCGCCTCTACAACACCCTCAGCTAATCCAGATGCAAAGCTACGACAGCCGCCCTTGGCCTAGGCCGTCAGAAACCTTGGGGCGGGGCGGGGGGGGGGGGCAATAATCAAGAGACCAAGATCTTTCTCTAGTGTTTTCAATTAAGTTTTCAAGCAAAACAACCAGGCGCCCAAAGAGACCGCGAAGAAAACTGCAGATACTGTAATCCCGAGAGAAAGGGGTGGTAGGGAGGTGTGCACGCAATCCCGAGAGAAAAGGGTGCCGGAGAGGAGGAGCGCAAGGAGGAAACTAAGTATCCGCACGCATCTTTGAGACCCACAAAAACAACAACAAACCGTAGGGTCTGTCTTCTCGTAGAAACACCAGACGGAGTCCCCGGGGCTGAGACAGTTCAGCCGGCAAACACCGTGGGTAGTGGATAAGTCAACCGATGATGGGAGGTGAAGAGGGTGCCAAGCAAATAAGCCACTGGATGGGGAGACAAAGCCTCCGGGGGTAATCACGGACCAACCAGAAAGGTGAGAGGGAAACGCTCCAGAGAAATACAGCAATAAAAATTGAAAGACAGAAAGCTGGTGCCTGGGCTGTGGCAGGTCACCAAGATACCTAACAGAGAGGGGGAAAACAAAGGGGTCCAGGAGGAAGGACAACTGAGGGAAGGAGAAAGGATGCGGGGCGCGACGGGTCGGACAAAGCGTCCAGGGCGGCGAAACAAAGGCCCGGGGGTAAAGAGTAGCGGGGGGCAGCAGAGAAAGACAAAGCGCACGGGACCGGGGGCACCGGCCCGGCGAGACGGCGACGACGGCCCCGAGGAACAAAGCTGCGCGGGGCTGGGAGGCAGGGCCGGCGAGCGGCTGCGCGGAAGGCGCGCGGCGGGCACGGCGCCCGCGGGCCCCGCGCTCCCGGCCGCACGCCCCGCGCTCCCGGCCGCACTCACGCCCGCACCCGCCGGCCTCGCCGCCGCCGCCGCCGCCCGCCCTCACGCGCCGGAGCCCGAGCCACGGCGGCGCAGAGCGGGCAGCGCACGGCCACACGCCGCCGCCGCCGCGCTCGGCGCACGCGACACCGCCCCCGCGGCTCCCGGACGCCAAGCGTGCCGCGGCCCTCGAACCCGCCGCCCGCTGCGGGGTGCTGGACGCCCGCAACTTTCCCAGTTCCCTGCGCTCGGATTCCCCAAGACTTACCCTGTCACAACAGGCGCCATCTTCCACAAACTCTCGCCAAAACTCCAACCCTCGCGAGATTCCCCCGACGCCTTCCCTGGTCCCTCTCCCCCGCCCCTTCCCTTTTTCCTCACTCCTCGATTCCACCCAGCCCCCGCGCTCCTTTTCCCCTCGCAGCAGCCGCAAAGAGCCAGACGCCTCGCGCCGCCAACAGCTTAGGGGATCCAGCTCGCTGCCTTCCCTGGAAACCTACCCAAGCGATGGAGCATGCGCAGGCGGCTCCTCCGCAGGCGAACCCTCCATCTGGTCCATATGGAGCGCTCCGGTTATCCGGGTTTTGTGACGCGCCCTGAGGGACGTACGTGGAGACTGAGGAAAACCGGAGGGGATTACAAGGGGACGGGGAATGGAGGGGTCAGGAGGCGGAGCCCAGGGTAGAGAGGAGGGGTCCTGGGAAAATCTGCCGCGTTTCACAGGCCTAGATGAAACACCTCCTCAAATGGGTGTTTTCCAAGTGGCTTCCCGCTCACTTTAGTTCCCAGCCCTTTTCATTCATTCACACGTTCATTGGACGCCTTCTTTATGGTAATGTCAGCGTCAGGTACTGGAACTACAAAGATGCCTGGAGTTCGGAGGAGTAACAAACCGGGAACTTAGTTCATTCGACCCTCTGGGTAGCAGACAGACAAGATTGCAACGTGGTCCGAGCCACCAGAGGTCTGTGTGTAAAGAACTTTTTTGAGGTTGAACTCCATTGCCTTAGCTTTCTTCTCCTTGGGTGTGAGATAAGGTCAGGCCAAGGCCTCTGGCAAAGTCACCACTACTGTGTCCACCTGCATACAGACGCCGGGGCGCTGCGAAGCTTTCTCCAGAAGTGAAAACTGTACTGTAATTGAAAGCCACCACTGCCCCAGCCAGCACGTAACTCAGAGGTTCTACTTGGGCAGGGAGCTACCTGTCGCGTAAACCTCCCCAGGACCTCATCGCAGACCCAAGACGTGTGTGAACCCGAGTGCTATATGGGGACAGACTCTGACAAGGTCCTCCCGTGGGCCTGGCAGAGTGGAGGACACAGCTCGCTCCCCTAAGTGTATCTCAGGCGACCTAAACCGGGAAGCCCCCGAGCAAATTTGGCTTGTCTGGGCATACAAGAAAGGTGCAGGACTCTTTACCCGCCCTCCCAACCTGCAGCACCCCTTTCTCACCCCCCCCCCACCCCGCTTTGCCCTTTCAATTCCTAGAGATTCCCAGATCCAGCACTGCCTCCGCAGGGAGCCCCAAAACCCGGAGTACTGGAATCCACAGCCCGAAACCTGCTGAAGGCTGCAGGATTGGCGCGGCACGCGCGAGCGGCACTGCGCATGTGCCCAATGCGGGCAGCCCCGTCTCACGCTACACCTCCTTCCCACCGCCTTCCACTACTCGATTCAGACACAACACGGGCCGTGGGAAATTTCTTAAACCTCGCGAGAACGCGCCCACTGTTGTCTATGCTTTTGCCCCAAATCTCGCGGGGCCCAGGCGGGACAGGTGTTTGTCTAGTGCAGCTCCCAGCGCCGTTCGTGCCGCGCGTGCCCGGGCGGCGGGCGGGGTGGGAAGGGAACGGCTCGCTGAGGAGGCGGGGCTGGGGGGCGCGTGGCGGGGAGCGCAGGGCGGAGGGCGGCTGGGAGGGGCCCGACGTCTCGCACACACAAGCCGCGTGACGCTTTGTGGAAGGAAAGTGGGGGTGGTGGGGGGCGGATTCTAAAAGAAGGGGAAACCTGGAGATTAGAAACTCCTGGTGCGGATGGTAAGAGGTCAGACTCGAGGGCAGGAGGAGCCCTAGGCCGCTCCCCGGGGAGGTTTCCTGTCGCCCTCCACGCGCCTGGTACTTTCCTAAAATGTGTTTGACGCCGCGCCCCCGGCCTCCGGGAGCTGACAGCCCCCAGTGTCGCGTTTGAGTCATGCCTCTGAGTCACCCAGTCTGGCCACCACTTTACTTGCTCTAAGACAAGTTTGGATTCTCTTAGCTACTCTCTGATAGCAGTTGGTTGTTTTCTGTCTGAGGTACCTGCTGGTCTTGCTTGTTAGCCAGGGGAAAAGTGCTGCTCTCTGTGCTCTGACGTTGTACACTTGTATCGATTTCGCCTCCCATTCAAGGACGCATTTAAAAATTTTCTTCCCGCTAATCATTTTTAGACTTCCCTGCTAGCTCAGACGGTAAAGAATCAGCCTGCAATGCAGGAGACCCCCGTTGGATCCCTGGGTCGGGAAATGCCCCTGGAGAAGGGAGCAGCTACCCACTACAGAGTTCTTGCCTGGAGAATCCCTTGGACAGAGGAGCCTGGAGGGCAGTCCATGAGGTCGCAGAGTCTAATCTCTTTTTGCCTTTTGAAGTAATCCCTATGTATTAGTTTCTGTTCCTTTTTTTTTTTTTCCTTTTCTCCAGTTATATGACTTACTGGTTTTGCTTTCCTTCATCTTTTTATGTGTTTGTTGAAATATTCATTTCGAATTTTGGATATCGTTTTATCAGGTGCTTTAGTCACAACTCTTTTAAGTGCGTTCCTTCCTTCTGGATTGTTTGTCCAGTAAATTCCTGTTGAGATTTCTTCAATCAGGCACTTTTGAGATTGTCTTCGTGTGGTTTCTGTACCAGTCTAGCCTGGCATTATCTCAGAACTGGTGTCTTGATGACATCGTAGACCCGCAAATGAAAAATTAAATTGAGTTTTTGAATTTGGGAAAACAGCGACTCCTCTAATACAGAGTTCATATTCTGCTAGTTATACCGTGGACGAGAAATCAAGTTTTTGAATTGTTTTCAAGGTTATTAGTTGTGTGTGCGCATGAACATTTGCCTATTCATTTGATTAAGTAGTTCACAAAAGGAAAGAGAAAATTAAGAATCTTTAATGCGGTATCTCAGTGCAAAGCTAATTTGGATTAGTCTTGCTTCAAGAGAACAGTGCCCATGGGCACACATTCCTTCAAAGGAATCAAGCCTTTATCCCAAGAAGGCATTACAGTCATGGTCTGGTCTAGGCTATTCATCTGATCTGGAACCATTGCCATCTAAGAACCCTAGCCACAGAAAGTCATGGTAACCATGGTAACTCAAATTAGGACTCCCATTCACCCTAATACATGCACTACCTGTGTTCTTCCCCGTCCTAGTAAATGATATTCCATCCTTCCATTTAAGCCAAGAACCCTGGAGTCATTCTCATTTCCTTTCCTTCTCACATCCAACATTCAACCTAACAAAATCTTGCTGGCTCCGCCTTCAGAATAGACTCACAGTCCAAACACATCCACACCTCTATGGCAACCGTCCCAGTCTAACCCATCTCATTTCTCACCTGTTGTCCAGGAAGTCTAATAACTGGTTCTGCCTTCATCCATTTTGCCTTTTCTCAGTCTGTTTTCAGTAGACAATTCAGTGTAACTCTCTAGAACTCTCCAATGGCTTTCCTACTTTCCTATGAGGCCTACTGCCCAAACCCCATACCTCAACCTCATCTCTTCCCCTTCCTCATGGAGCCCCAGCCAGCATCGTTCCTTGTGTTCCTGGGATGCACCAGGCGCACCCTCAACTCCTATCTTTGCTCTTTTCCCTAGATGCCTTATAGATCCTTCCTTTACTGCTTTCAGGTCTTTGCTTAAATGTCACCTTTCGGCCCCCCTTCACAAAAGTAACTCTTCTTACTCCCTGTTCCCTCCTTCTTTATTTTTCCCATGGTCCTATTGTAAACTAACATGCCATACATCAGATCTGTGTATTGTGTCTATTATCTGCCTACCTCTCCCCATTCTAATCTTAATATAAGCAGGGACTTTAGTCTATTTTGTTTATAGTTCATACCTCAACCATCAGAACAATGCCTGCTGCAGGATAGATGCTCAGTAAGTATTTGTAGAATGAATAGGATGTCTTCCACTTCTAGAATAGATTAGAAATTATTCCGAAGACTCACTAAGCCTTCTAGGCTTCAAAAGAATATCGAGGCTAGGCCAGTAGTGAATACCCCACTGCCATCTTGCCTGGGGAAGGCCTGTAGAGCAAAGACCTCTCTTAACTTTTTGCAAAAAAACAATTTTTACTCTTGAGTTAGGCCAGTAAGTGTGCCTACACTTACTTGAAGTGTTTCCTTTACTCTCCATTTTAGCTTCCCTCATAGCTCAGTCAGCAAAAAATCTGCCTGCAATGCAGGAGACCCAGGTTTAACTCCTGGGTCAGGAACATCTCCTGGAGAAGGAATTGGCAACCCACTTCAGTATTCTTGCCTGGAGAATCCCATGGATAGAGGAGCCTGGCAGGGTACAGTCCGTGGGGCTGCCTGAGTCGGACACAACTTAGCGACTGAACCACAACCACCACCACCAGGAAAGAAAATGCTATTGGCAGGATGTAAAGAAACAGGCATTCTCATCTGTTGCTAGTGGAGTGAAAATGGATATGCTGTGCTTAGTCACTTCAGTCACGTCCGACTCTGTGCGACCCTATGAACTGTAGCCCACCAGGTTCCTCTGTCCGTGGGATTCTCCAGGCAAGAATACTACAGTGGATTGCCATTCCCTTCTCCAGAGGATCTTCCCAACCCAGGGATCAAACAGACATGTCTTATATCTAACCTGCATTGGCAGGCGGGTTCTTTACCACTAGCACCACCTGGGAATCATAATCTTTATGAAAACCATTTTGATAAAACTTATCTCTACCTATTAATCCTACAACTCTGTTTCTAGAGATCTGTCCTATGAATATATTTACATTTGTGAAATTACCTGTACATGTAGTGTAGCATTGGTCTTCCCTTGTGGCTCAGCTGGTAAAGAATCTGCCTACAATGTGGGAGACCTGGGTTCGATCCCTGGGTTGGGAAGATCCCCTGGAGAAGGGAAAGGCTAACTACTCCAGTATTCTGGCCTGGAGAATTCCAGGAGAATTCTGGAGAATTCCATGAACTTGTCCATGGGGTTGCAAACAGTCAGACACAACTGAGTGGATTTCACTTTCACTTTCATAATGTAGCATTAGTAATGGCAGAGAATACTGTAACAATCTAAATGTCAATCAAGAGGTGTCTTATTTATTAAAATATATATATATATTCATAGAATCAAATAGTATGCATTTGTTAATAAGCAGAGGGTGCTTTTTATGTAATTACATGGAAGGATCACAAAGTTTAAAAAAACAAGGTGCAAAATAATGATAGGTAAATAATACTTATTTGCCTATATGTATCTAAAAGGGTTCTGGAAGGATACATGAGAAACTAATAATGACTGCTTCGCTGTAAGGAACTCAACTGTTGGAGGATATAGGTGAAGAGGTGGCTTATCTTGGACCCTTTGAATTTTGTAGAAGCACACATATTTTTTTTTCAAAATATAAAACATTTTAAAAGGGAAGGATGAAAGGGAATAAATGTGCAACAAGAAAAAAATGATCAAAGTGTTTTCTTTTTCCCACCTGCTAGAAAATTATTTTCTAAAAAAAAAGAATTATTTTCTAAAAGAAGTGATGTATATGATAATACCATCTCAGTAGAATTAAGAACTGCAGAACTGTCAGGACTTAATCCCGATCATCTGGTAACATTGAGTCCATTCAAGCAGCAAGTTCATAGTCCCTACCAGTCCATGTCAGATATCATCTTTCGTGGTTTACAAAGATGGGTAGGACAGAGACTTCAGGGGATGCCCCAGATAACAGAGTACACAGACCAGTTGCAGGGTAATTTTAGGGTGGAGGCATGAGTTTAATGGCATTGGGGTACAGAGGAAGAAGCACCTAACTCTTGCCTGATGGGCCCAGTCATCTTGCAGAGATGACTTCTGAACTAAATCTTAGTGGAGTGGGAGTTCAGAAGACAGTAAGAGGAGGAAGCATAAGAAGCACAGGAAATAGCATATTCAGGCTCTGAGGTGTGAAAGAGCACCTTGTATTCAGGGGAACTCCAGGTGGTTGGTGCATGTAGAAGCTGGGGTAGACAACCTAGGCAGGGTAACTAGAACGACCTGGTAAAAAGGTGGTCCTCACAAGTTGGTGGGCTCCACTCCCTAAGACGCTGAATGAGTAAATCTGTGCTGGAGCCCAGGAATAGGTGTTTCTAAGAAGACTGGTCAAGGATTCTGATGCAAATTGTCCACGAATCAAACTTTGAGAATCTTTATTGTAGGAGTTAGATGTAACCTTTCTTCAGGAGTTTCACATTAAAGGGAGCAGTGACATATAGTTCCTTGGTTAAAAACAATAAATGAAATATTTTAATATTAAGAAGAATAAGTTTGGGGGCTTCAGTATATATCCCCCTGGAGGAGGGCATGAACCCACTCCAGTATTCTTGCCTGGAGAATCCCCATGTACAGAGGAACCTGGCAGGCTGCAGTCCATGGGGTCGACTGAAATACTAACCACTGCACAGCACAGCACCAGTATATATCCAGTAGATACGTGAGGCAAATAGTGGCAACGAGATGAGCACATTTGTGAAGGGATCTTGTTTTGCTCTGGTGGTTTAAACATAACAGACGTTTCAACATTGCTTTCATTCCAAGGTTAAGTTATACCAACTCATATTAATGAGACACACCAGGACACTGAAAATTTTACTAGGCAGCCCCATGACGGAGAATACTGGTTCTAGTGCCACATTGCATGGGTTCCAACTGTAGAACCTGAGACAAGCTATTTAACCTACCAATACCTCAGTTTCCTTGCCTGTAAAATAGAGAATAGCAGCTAATTCATAGGGTTGTCATGACGATTCAAAGTGTTAGTTCTGTTGAAAGCACATAGAAAGATACCTGTAACATAGTTGCTATAGTAGTGTTCATTTTTATCACTGTTATTTTTTATTTAATAAATGCATTAAATGCCTTCATCTCATGAAAATTCTTGTGAAGCATATCAAAATGTCTTTAATGCTTCAATAATCAGTGTTAAAATAGCTAAACATAGAGATGATTTTATCCAGATTGATGTTAATTCATTTCTTTATCATACCCATTCAGATATGGCAATGTCATTATTATTATTTAATTTCTAAAAGATTCACATGTCCAAAAAGGTTAAGAAACCTGCTGTAGATGGCCAACAAGAGCCTCTGAGGATGTAAAACAGGGCTTGATGTGATCAGATTGTGGAGTGGCTGTGAGCCTAAGAAAATCTTCCTGATAACTTGTTAGAAATTGAAAGCCTTTTACTTCACAAAAGTCTCTTAACTCGTGGTTTTCATTCATCCTGATGCCTCCCTGTTTAATGAAAGTATCCCTTTCATTTCCTACTGTGTGCTAGTTAAGGTTAATAAAATGTATATGAGATTGAAAAAGTTTATCTTCCTTAAACACTATGCAAGTCTATAAGGAAAATAAACTCTAATTTTAGAATTGAAAGAAAGAAAGAGATCACTGAAAGTGAGTCATAGAGCAGGCTTCAGGAAGGTGAACTTGAGAAACAAAAATAAATATTTACCCTTTGCTTTCCAATTGTGTTTGATTTTAAATAGGATTCTTTGGCCCTGGGAATTTGATTTCTTTTTTCTTTCTTTTTAGGTCTGACTGAGTGACTGAACCAAACTGAACTGAAAGCAAAGCTTGAGGAGGGATGGCAACCACTCCAGTATTCTTGCCTGGTGGAGAATCCCATGGACAAGGAGCCTGGCAGGCTACAGTCCAAAGGGTCACAAAGAGTCCCAGATATGACTAAAGAGACTTAGCATGCTTTCACACAAAACAAAGCTTAACATATGCAGCACTTCAAGAAAGTGAAAGAAGAAAAACTATAAACCATTTACTCTAATGATGTGATATGCAAATGGAATCAAATATACCTTTGGTAAGAAGAATGTGTACAAGTCGTATAATTTTCTTTTTATAATATAAACAAGATAAAGCAAGTAAACACTATCTATACAGGGACTTCCCTGGTGGTCCACTGGCTAAGCCTCCATGCTCCAATACAGGTTTGATCCCTGGTCAGGAAACTAGATGCCACATGCTGCAACTGAAGATCCCACATGCCACAACTAAGACCTCACACAGTCAAGTAAGTAAATACTTTAAAAAGAAAAGAAGAAAAAAAAACTACACAAAAAGTAACACACTATATGATTTGTAAAAGTTGCTCAGTCTTGTCCAGCTCTTTGCAACTCCATTGGCCTCCTGATGCAAACAAAGAACTGAGTCACTGGAAAAGACCCTGATGCTGGGAATGATTGAAGGAGGGAGGAGAAGGGGCTGACAGAGGATGAGATGGTTGGATGGCATCACTGACTCAAGGGACACGAGTTTGAGTAAGCTCCAGGAGTTGGTGATGGGCAGGGAAGCCTGGCATGCTGCAGTCCATGGGGTCGCAAAGAGTCAGACACAACTGAGCGACAACTGAACTGAACTGAACTGAGTTGTGAAAAGTGAAAGTGAAAGTCGCTCAGTCATGTCCATCTCTGCAACCCCGTGGACTATACAGTCCATGGAATTCTCCAGGTCAGAATACTGGAGTGGGTAGCCTTTCCCTTCTCAAGGGGATCTACCCAACCCAGAGATCAAACCCAGGTCTCCCGCACTCCAGATGGATTCCTTACCAGCTAAGCCACAGTTACCTGTGTATAAAGAATGTATTTGAGTTTTGATTTTCTAAATGTTTCACTTTGTTATATATCATATATTGTGGTTTTTTATTCCATGTTGAATCAATGTTGAAGAGTCATAATTAGCAAAACAGCTGGGTTAGAAAGGAAAAAAGCTTTGGACTAACTCTGTCATTGAGTCCTACCTCCACCACTAGCCAGCTAGCTAACTTTGGGCAAGCTAACCTTTCCTTATGTGCAAATGAGGAATGTAAAACCTATGGCTTACAACTATCTTGAAAATTATTTGAGATATTACATGAAATAACTGGGGACATAGTAAGTACTCAGTAAATGCTGTTTCTTTAGAAAATTCTACCACCTATGACAATGCTCAATTTTCTATTAGATGGACTAAGACTCTCAGCCTTAGAGATTTGTTGCACAGATCAAATCAGGTAATTACATAGATAATTAAATGGCAAGCATTATCTTTAAATAAGTTTATTATATTTATTTGGGTTGGCACATTTATTTGTAAAATTTGAGTATGGTTTTATAGCAAATCAATAGGGCAGAAAAAGACCCCTACATTTTCTCCCCTGGCCTGAGTTACTATTAACCTGGGGCATAAATGACCTTTATAAGTTTTTCAAAGAAAGCCTACTCAAAGGGTTTATTCTTTGTATCTGTGTTGTTTTGTGTCAGAGATAGTGTAATGATAAGTATCAGCTTGCAGATATGACCTTTGTGGCTAGCACCCTTGTCCAAAATAGACTAAGGACCAAGAAGATCAACTTTGGAAACAGTCTACTCAACAACCACTGACAAATAGTGAAAGATACCAGACAATTACCATCTTGTGAAATACCTAGCTCTGTCAAAGACAGCTATCAAAGACAGTGGAGAATTCCCGTAAACATCATGATGAGAGTTGTACATTGTCACTTTAAAAATCGTCATTATGTCAGTATGTTGATATTTTTTATTTTAATTAATTAAAAAAATTAATTGTCATTATGTCAACCAATGGGAATTAAAGGAGAAACCTTGTGAAATGACTGCAGGAAAAAAAAAGATAATTTTTAAGTAAGCTATCAATAAATATTGAGTACAAATGTAATTCAGTGCAATAGAAGAAAAGTTTCATCTCGGTGTCATAATAATGTATTTAATTTCTAAAATGCATTAAAGAAATTCTGTAAAGGAATCCTTAACAACTCCTTGTTACATATTGGGACTTCCCTGGAGGCTCAGACGGTAAAGAATCTGCCTGCAATGCAGGAGACCCAGGTTTGTCCCTGGGTTGAGAAGATCCCCTGGAGAAGGGAATGGAACTCCAGTATTCATGCCTGGAGAATTCTATGGAAAGAGGAGCCTGGGGGATTCCCATATTCCAACTGGTATTGTCCTACGGGTACTTTTTTCCCCCTTAAATGGTTGTTTAACAAAATTCTACCGTGATTAGCATTCTGTGGAAGATAAAATAAATTGTATCAAGGTGTTACTAATATAGTATCCCACTAGTGGAAAAAAACATTTCTCAAGATCTTAGCTGCAAATTGCCTCCCATCTAAGTACTTTGAGAAGATTTGGAAATTTATGCATGCTTTTTTTTTTTTTTCCCTTTCTCCCAGCTTTCAAAACCCTTGGCTTAAATTCTACCCTCAGAATTACTTCTGACTTCAGTGAGAGTTTTAAACGATCGTTTGGGAGGAACATTTGGCTCTTGCTTTTTCAAGTCTAAAGTTCTCCAGAAATGTTCTTATGAAATGTGAATCTGATTTTCATCATGCAGTTTTACCTACATAGCATCATATTTTCCTTCACCAGCAAACACTAAGTATTTTATTTTTAACTAGCAAGGCTATATCTTTATTTGCATGGTACTTTCCAAGTTTCCAAAATAGGAAACAAATCACAGAATCTAGGCCAAAGAAAAGGACTTAAGAACTGAAAGAAAACTTCTGAAAAACAGATTACATACAGAAGTGCTCAGTTTTATAAAACTCAGGATTTTTTAAAAGTCATATGCCAGTCTAACATGCAGCAGAGCCGCTTTCTGTTTAAAGGGATACTGTGATATGCAGTTTGTGAAATGTCAATAATATGATTAAGTCTACACCATCCCAAGCCTTCTTACAAACACTGTCTCAGTCAGTCCTCAGGACAAAGCCACAGGTAGGCTCTCCGAGTGATGAGACTCAGAGAGCATCACTTGTACAAGTTATACTTCTAGAAGTGGAATTTAAGCTTGAGAGGTTTGTCTGGGCTTTTTTGCTACAGAAATTTAAATCATTATATTATTACAACCTGATAGAGAATATATTGTGTCATATACTCAGAGGAGAAGGGGACGACAGAGGACGAGATGGTTGGATGACATCACTGACTCAATGGACATGAGTTTGGGTAAACTCCAGGAGTTGGTGATGGACAGGGAGGCCTGGCATGCTGCGGTTCATGGGGTCACAAAGAGTCGGACACGACTGAGCAACTGAACTGAACTGAATACTCAGAGTATCAGATTATAGTTTAAAAATTATTTATAAAAATATAAATTCTAAAGAATGCAGAAAGACTTATGTTTTAAAAGCCAGTAATATTACATATATATATATGTGTGTGTGTGTGTGAATGACTGTGTGAATCAGTCATATAAACTAGTAACAGTGAGTGGCTAAAGATAGGTAGCTGAGGCAGAGAGAAGACCTAATACTCTTGTGGATTTTTTTGCTATATTATTTTAAAAAATAATTTCCCAAGGACATCACAAGAAAAGAGCCTACGGACCCCTAAATATAAACACAGAAATGCTCAACAGAATTCTAGCAAACACTGAACAAAGTAGGAATAGAAGGGAGCTTCCTCAACCTGCTAAAGGCATCTATGAAAAATCCAGAATCAATGTCATTTTTAAACAGAAAAGACTGATATTTTCCCACTAACATGAGTAAGAAGACAAAGATTTCCATTAGAATCACTTGTATTCAACCTTGTACTGGAGATGCTACCCAAGCAATTTGGCAAGAAAATTAAATAAAGGGTATCCAGGTTGAAAAGAAGAATGAAAAATGTCTCTATTTGCAAATGATAGCATTGTATATATAGAGAATTCTAAGGATTCCACTAAAAATGCATTAGAACTAGTCCTTTTTGCTCTATAAGTTTGCAGTGCTATGTAAGTTTAGCAAGTTTGCTGGATACAAAGTCAGTATTCAAAAATCAGTTGTCTTTTTGGGACTTCTCTGGTAGTCCAGAAGCAAAGACTCTGTGCTTTCAATGCAGGGAGCCTGGGTCAGGCCCCTGGTCAGGGAACTAGATACCACATGCCAAGACCTGGCACAGCCAAATAAATAAAATAAAATATTTTTAAAATGATTGACAGACAGTAAAGAATATAAAAAAATCAATTGAGACAAAGATTCCATTAGCATTAAAAAGAGTAAGATACTTAGGAATAAATTTAACAGAGGGAAAGCTGTTCTTATACTCTGAAAACTATAAAATATTGTTAAAAGATAATTTTAAAGATCTAAATAAGTAAATGGAAATCCATGTTCATGGATTGAATTTGATCTATGGAATCAACAAAATCACTGTCAAAATCCCAACTGTACAGTTTGCAGAAATGGACAAGTTGTTCCTAAAATTCATAGGAAGATTTAAGGAACCCAGAAAAGCCAAACCAATCTTGGAAAAGAAAAACAGAGGTGGAGCAGTCATGCTTCCCCTTTTTCAAAACTCACTACAAGACTGTAGTAATCAAGGTTGTGTGGTGCATGTATAAGGTAGACATATAGTTCAGTGGAGTAGAATTCAGAGTCTAGACATAAACCCTCACATGTGTGGTCAGTTGATTTCCATCAAGAGTACGAAAACAGTTCAATGGGGAAAAAATAGCCTTCAACAAATGGTGCTGGGACAACTGGCTATCCACATGCAAAATAATTAACTTGTATTCTAAACTTCACAACATATATTCCAATTACCTTAAAATGGATCATAGACTTAAATGTAAAAACTAAAACCATAAAACTCTTAAAGGAAAGCATATATCTTCATGAACTTGGATTAGCAATGGTTTCTTAGATATGACACCGATAGGCACAAGCACAACAACGGCAACAAAAATAAATTGTTCTTCATTAAAATTAAACTTTTGTATTTGAAAGCACACGCTCGAGAAGGTGAAAAAAACACCCCATAGAATGGGAGAGAATATTTGCAAAACGTTTATCTGATAAGGACTGATATCGGAAATATATAAAGAATTCTTAAAACTGAATAATAGGATAGCCTATAATAGAAAAGAATAGTAAAAAAGAATGCATATATGTACGAAAACTGAGTCAGTATCCTGTACAGCAGAGATTGGCACAACATTATAAATCAACTATACTTTAAAAAAATTCAATAATAAAAACAGAAATAGTCCAATTTAAAAATGGGCAAAGGAGCTAAATAGATATTTCTGCAAATAAGACATGCAAATGGCCAGTAAGCACCTGGGAAAAATATTCAACATCATTAAGTATCAGAAAAATGCAGATCAAAACCACAATGAAATACGATTTCATACCCATCAGGAGGGCAACAATCAAGACAGATAATGGTGTGTTGTCAAGGATATGGAAAAATTGAAACCCTTAGGCACTGGTGGTAGGAATGTAAACTAAAGAAGTCATTTTGCAAAACAGTCTGACAGTTCCTCAAAAGGTTAAAGATAAAGTTACCATATGACCAGCAACTCTCCTAGGTATATACCAAAGAGAACTGAAAAACATGTCCAAACAAAAACTTGTCCATGGATGATCAGTGCAGCATTATTTATAACAGGTAAAAAGTAGAAGAAAAAAAAATGTCCATTAGCTGATGAATGGATAAATAAAATGTAGTGTATTTATAACAGGGAACAGTATTAGGCCATAAAAAGAAATGAAATACTGATACATGATGCAATGTGAATAAACCTTAAAAACACACTATATGAAAGCAACAAGTCACAAAAGGCCCCATATCATATGATTCTGTGTATGTGAAATATCTTGAATAGACAAAACTACAAAGATAGAAAGTAAACTAATGGTTGCCTAGGTCTAGAGAGTATAGGGTGGGGTGTGTTGTGAGTGACTGCTAATGGTTATAGGACTTCTTTGGAGATGATGAAAATGTTCTAAACTTGATTGTGGTGATTGTTGCACCAGCTTTGTGAACAGACTAAAAACTATCAACTGAGCAACTGAACCAAACTGATTGAATGTACACTTTAAAGCATGAATTATATCCCAATAAAGCTGTTAACAAAAAAAGCAGAAAAAAACTAAAATTTAACTTTATTCAATTAGAGCAGACTTCCCTTGTGGGAATTCCCTGGAGAATTGTATGGACTGTGCTATTTTCACTTTCAATGAGATGCTTTAAAAGTCCATATGATTATAACCTTTACCTTAGTCACGTGTGTGCTTAGTCGGTCAGTCATGTCCAACTGTTTGTGACCCCATGGATTGTAGCCTGCCAGGCTCCTCGGTCCATGGGGATTCACTAGGCAAGAATACTGGAGTGGGTTGCCATGCCCTCCTCCAGGGGATCTTCCTGACTCAGGGATCGAACCCAGGTCTCCTGCATTGCAGGAACCACCAGGGAAGCCCCAGAAAACTGGAGTGAGTAGCCTATCCCTTCTCCAGGGGAACTCCCTGACTCAGGAATTGAACCGGGGTTCTCCCACGATGCAGGCAGACTCTTTACCAGGTGAGCTATGTGGACAAATAACCAGTGATCTCCATAGGGAGGATAGTCATCACTGTGTCAGTTGATTTACCCTCTAGCTTCATAGTAGGTTTGAGATTATATTTCTGTCTAGGGTGATAGTTCTTAACATTTCGTAAGTAAACTGACCTTGCTTTTTTGTTTATTTTTGGTCTCATCTCATGGCATGTGAGTCTTCCCCAACCAGGGATCAAACCACCACCAGGGAAGTCCTCTGTTGCCTCCTTATAGCCTCTACTCCACCAAATACCCTTCAAGGCCCTGATGACTCAGTTTATCCCATTCTACTTTCATCTTATTGAATCTATTCCTCTGTTACCCATTGATTCAAAAAAGAAATATTTCCTGAACACCCACTATGAACACCCAGCACTCTAGTAAGCTCTCACGAAGTCTGGTTTGAGCAAGTAAGACAAGATCACTGCCCTCGGGGACTTGAGTTCAAAGATGGAGACTTAGATAATAAAAGAATAAACAAACAAACGGGGCTTCCCAGGTGGCAGTCTGACTTCAATGCAAGAGACATTTGTTCGATCCCTGGGTCAGGAAGATCCCTGGGAGGAGGAAATGGCAACCCACTCCAGTATTCTTGCTGGGAAAATCCCGGAGGAGCCCGGCGGGATATAGTACACAGGGTCACAAAGAATAGGACATGACTGAGCAACTGACCACAAAACAAACAAATAAGGAGGACCATTTTAAACAATGATGAAAGCTAGGCTAAAAATTAAATAGGAGTGAAAAACGCTAAGAGGAAAGGGAAGTTGATTTTATTTAGATCAACTGCACTCTTAATGGTAAATTCCTTTCATTGTACTTAAACTGTTCGGAAGTACTTTAATTGTGTAATTCTCTTTAAAAGGTTTTCAAACAATACAAGTAGAGAGCAACAACCTTTACAATTTTAAGTTCACTCTTTAGACTCTAGCAGGATGTGGATACTGAGGCCTTTCAAAAGTATAGACTTGGATATTTCTACCTTTCTTTGGTAAAGTTTACTTAGGAAAAGGAAAGTGATGAACATTCAAATTCTGAATGCCTATTATAAATGGACAAGTCCTTACCATCTATTCATGTTTATAATCCATCTCCCCACAGCCCCACCCAACCCTCCCACCCAGTGCTGGGAGTCAGATGTTTTTATCTGTATTTCACAGGTGAAGGAAGTGTGTTTTGACCAAGAACACCCAGGTCAGAAGTGGACAAACCAGTTTCGATGCCATCTTTTTGCCTTCAAGTCAAGAACCCTTTTGCTTATACCAGGTAACCTATAATTTCATGCCATTCCTACTCCTCCAAAAACCTTGCTTCTTCATTAAGAGGTTTTCAGTAAAAAAAAAAAAAAATACTGTGAAGGGAGTTGGCGTATGTTTAAGTTTGGCGTAAGTGTTTCAGCTTCATTAAAAAAAAAAATCACAATATGTAACTTCACATTTCATTTTGCCTGTTAGGTCACATATCATGAGAGCTAATATTCAGAAATATCTATTTGTAAGAGGAGTGATCACTACACTATTTTAAAAGCCGTCTTAACTGTCCTTTCTGAGAAGTGGCTTGCTGTTTGCCAGGATAATGCAATTCCTGTTTGTATATTATAAAATTAGTACAGTTTATATGAAGAAAATCTTTTTCCTTTGTTCCACCCCATGAAATGATGCCTTTTCATGATGATTAAAAGCAAAACAGCCTAAAATGCTATATTAGTTCACAAAGATTTCTCAGAATGATCTATTAAAACTGAAACTGAAACGTTATGGAGGTGGTAAAATCTACTCACATTCAATTACCTATGGGCAAAAAAAATATATATATATAGATACCTTCAGTATCTGCAGTATCTATACCATGTGTTAATAATGATGGTGAAAATAGATTGAAATTTAGGGTGAATCCTCTAGATAAGGATGTTCTTCTAAACAGAAGAGTTCCTTAGAAGAGTTGATAAATATGTATACCCTTACAGTTAACTAAGGTGTAAAATGAGACACGCTCAAGATGTTACACTAAATTTTGCTAAGAACATAGGAATCATTCTGAAATGTGACTGGTTTCCAGCTTCTTCGTTGAATTTCCCTCCCCTGCCCTGTCCCTAAAATAGTTTATTTTTTCAATGTATAAAATATTTATTTCACAGTCTCATTCCTATTTTGGAGTTCTTTTCTTTCATTTCTTTGGAGCTGGAGGGAAGTGTGATGTTTCTTCAGGACAGGTTGCATATGAGATAATACAGCTTTCTGTATCTTATGTTTTACCCTAGGAGTCTAGATTTTAAATACCTCTAAAATGATTAGTCTTAATTCTACTTCAATACATTTGACAGATTAACTTCTTTTATGTTTTTAATTTGTATTCAATAACTGCACTGGTCTTCCTGTCTCTAAAATGTGGATTTTCCTGACTTGGTCACGTTTTTTGGTGTTGACCTTTGTTGTTCTCCCCACAATGCCCTCCCACCCAGAATCGGCCTCCACTGTTAATAATCACCTAACTAATGTGTTAAACAACAGGCTTGTCAGGCATACTGCTTCGAACTTGAGTTTTACAGGAATTTTTAAGCCAGAATGTTTTTTCAGATTATGGTTATATTGAGCAAATATTTGTGATTAAGAAGTTCCTTTTTAATACCTCTATTTATTCTTCATTCACTGTAAAGGGCTTCGTTTCTTTTGGAGGCACACAACTAGTCTGGAATTTAGCTTTGTCCATCTCATATAAATCCCCTATAGGGTTAGTAAAACTGCAACCCATAATCCCTTCTTTAAAAAAGTGCACTGATTATTTGTGCTTATGTTAGTTCCAAATATTACAATAGTTTCTGGATTTTTGCCACATTCCTCTCTAGATAGTCATTTGGGAGACTTTGTTTATAATATGTGTCTTGAATGAAATTTAAAAATTACAGGACCACAGGATGTAAGACTCAGTTGTGGGTTAAACTTAATTTTTGCATTTTTTTTCAAAGAGGCTTTACTTAGATTACAACAATAGCAAACATTGAATAGAAAATGAGAGAAGGTATGTTTTTTCCAGGGATTAGTGTTTGAAAGAATATAAGAGAAAAGCACGGTATTTCCAAGGATTAGGGAATGTTTTCAAAGCGGCCTGTGGCATTCAGTTGGTGGTTTAGGTAAATTAAAACATTAAGCTGTTTCATGGATATCAGAAGAAATGTTTTCTTCAGTGATTGTGCTAATCATGATTTAAAAATCATAAATGAAACCATGCATTTAAAATAGCACCCCTCCCCCAAAAAGGTAGTTAAATTCTTCAGGATAAACAGTATAATAGCACTTTTATTTATTTATTTATTTTACAATTTAAGGCAATGTTAAAAATATGAAAGCTCCTCTGGGGCTTTTTCCTTCTAATAAATTCTATTTTTTCCCCCTCATACTCTGCTTCTTTTAGAAGCTGATGCTTATTAAAGAACCCTCAGATTTTTTGACCAAATGAATTGATTTTTTTAATGTAAGTTAAGTTTTTTGTATCTGATTACAACTTCTATAACTTTACAAAGGGTAGACTTCATAACCCGGTGTGTCTGACTGTTCTTTGCTCTGGTTCTTTTGCCTGTTACCCCGTGGATAGCTCCTCCCCCGCCCCCCCCATCTTAGGTTTTTTTTTTTTTAACCTATTTTTAAACTTTTTATTTTGTATTGGAGTCTTAACAGTGTTGTGATAGTTTCAGGTGGATAGCAAAGGAACTCAGCCATACATATACACATATTTATGTATCTATTCTCCGCCAAACTCCCCTCCCATCCAGGTTGCCAGGTGACACAGCAGACTTCTCTATTCTATACAGTAGGATCTTACTGCCATCCGTTTTAAATATAGCAGCATGTACGTGTTGATCCCAAGCTCCTTACCTGTTTCTTCTCCCCATACTTCTCCCTGGCAACCATAGTTTGTTCTCTAAGTCTGTGAGTCTGTTTGTAAGTAAGTTTATTTGTACCATTTCTTTTTAGATTCTGCATATAGAGGATGTCATATGATGTTTCTCCTTCTCTAATTTAGTTCACTCAGTTGACAGTCTTTAGGTCCATTGAATATATGGACTTTTACCTTTTACTCTCCTTATAAAACAAAAAAACAGTGCCCATAATAGGCAACACCTGTAAGTTAAGGCCAGCATTCTCTTTCCATCTTCTCAGTGTCTATACACTGATGGATTTCTCCTCAAGATGTTTCAGTTTACATTCTCTCTATAAATCAATCTCTCTCTCTCTCTCTCTCTCTCTCTCACACACACACACACACACACCCAGTGATTTCTATGACATAACCTTTATGGAATTCTATAAACACAGGATATGGAACACGGGTTAACCACTAGTCTAGGAAAGAAAATAAGCAGACAGTTGCCCACAGAACACATCTTAACGTTTAGGCTTCAATGTATGCCAAGAAAGTGATCCAATGAAGTGATTGCTTTGAGTCCCTACCTGAATAACAGCAGGATCTTGAAAACTCTATTGCTATTTTAAATGGATGTTGCTTGTCAACGGAATGCTAGAATGAATTATGGCCTCTGTATTAAGCTCTTTATTTAATTGTTGACCTTGACTTCAGAGAGGGTGTGGTGGGTGACAGTGAAAGTGAAAGCTGCTCAGTCGTGTCCAACTCTTTGCGACCTCATGGACTCGTCCATGGAATTCTCCAGGCCAGAATACTGGAGTGGGTAGCCTTTCCCTTCTCCAGGGAATCTTCCCAACCCAGGGATTGAACCCAGGTCTCCCACACTGCAGGCGGATTCTTTACCAACTGAGCCACAAGGATGTGGGTGTGGTGGGTAGCCAACTGTAAGTATAAAGCTTATATTAGGTACAAAGGAAAATGTTCCACTTAAGAGAAAATAGAATATAAACATTAATGTCACTGGCTAAAGTAAAAGCTTTTGTCATTCATCAAGGTAAAGAATAAGATATTAACAGTTCATATTTGACAACTTCCTTAAAATATTTATGCACTAGAGTGAAAAACAAATGAGTAAGTAAATGCCCTAAGTATTGCCCTTTTCCCCTAAGCCACTAGGCTGATACTGAGTCTAATGAATATTGCTCTAACACAGGGACAGCATCCACAACTTTATACTTAGCAGCTGCATTCAACAGCAAAATTTTAGATCCAGTTCTACTCCCAGCTACCTAGTGCTTTTAATTAAAAAAAAAAAAAAGATCATCATTAGAAGTGGGGTAGGTAGGAATGTGGCTAATCGTCTTGTGTTCCTGTAATTATAGCGGAGATCACTGTGCAACATTTGCAACTTTTCTGTTCTGCTGAAGCAATGACATTAGGAAGTGATGCTTCTACTGGTGATGACAGAAAACTGCCATTTCAAGGAGTCAAATTAGTTCCTCTAAGCTCCACTTAAGACAGATTCAACAAAAGGCTCTTCAGTGGAGGCGAAAGAACATTCACTCCCCTGCACCCTGATGGACTCATGGGTATATTAATTCAGGAGCTATCACAGCAGTTGTAAATGTGAAGAACCTGTTTTCACAATTCCTGATATCAAATAAGCATCACAACAGTGAAGTGGTTTACTGTGGCTCAGATGGTAAAGAATCCGCCTGCAGCGCAGGAGACCTGGGTTCAATCCCTGGGTCAGGAAAACCCCCTGGAGGAGGACATGGCAACCCACTCCAGTATGCTTGCTTGGAGAATCCCCATGGCCAGAGGAGCCTAGCAGACCACAGTTCATGGGGTCCCAATGAGTTGGACATGACTGAGAGAGTAGGCACAGCACATACAATTATACAATTTCTTTAATTTTACCCCTGGGGTAATCTACAGCTTCACGATCTGAATGTGAACTCAGCAGAAGGGCTCAGATTGTGGAGGCAGGGCATCCCTTAGGAGGCTTCTCTGCCTTCAGAGATCCGTGAATTAATAAATTTTTGGACAAGCATGGGCCAAAGTGGTGAAGATCAAAACCATGGCCATTTCTTTGAGCCCCAAATCAGCCCTCTAATTGATTCTTTGGTGCAGCAAGGCCAGCAAAGAAGGAAGGGACCTCCAACAAACTTGTGTTTTTCACAGGACTGATTCTGAGGATCGAATGTAGTAGGGTATTGTAGGGTCCAGTGGGAATCATTATATGTCTTTTACCTGTCCTACTGCAATCAGCATTTTCCTCTCACTCCCGTCTCATCAGTGTTCTAGTCCTGCACTTCAGCACATCAGAGCCAACTCTCTGCTTTCTAAAAAGACAACTAGCCAAGTAAAGTGATTTATGAACAGGAGAGAAGAAGCATTCCTCTTCCCCACACACGTGCATGCAAGTGCGCACACACGCACACCTACACACACACACACCCTTTCTTCCTGGATAGCAGCCATACTTGTCATCTCACCCAACAAAGTTATTCTGCTGGAGGAAATGTAAGCCTAATGGAAAGGGAGAAAGATGACTGTGTCATTTTTCTATTTAAATATTTTCAATTATTTACAGCACTTCATCCCCAAGCCCAAAGGAAATGTCTAGAAGGGATTGTTACCGAGTTCCAACTTGCTCTGGTCGCTGCATGACAGGCCAATGAATCCAAGAAATGAGGTGTTAAGGCAAGAAAGAGACTTAATCAGGGAGCCGGCAGACTGAGAAGATGGCAGGCTAGCACCTCAAAATAACCATTTTATTGGGGTCTGGATGCCAGATTCTTTTATAGACCAGAGAGAAAGAAGCAATGAGGAACTAAAGTCAAAAGGCAGAATAGAGAGGGAAACACAGTGGCGAAATAAAGTGAAAGCATCTTCAGTCTTGCAAAACATCTCCAAAGGAATAACCAGCCTTTGGAAGGGGTGTGAACAGTGACAAACTCTCCTCTCCAGGAGCTGAACAAAGGAACTTTGGTTTACAGTCCAGCAGAGGGGCAGGATCCTCCAAGCAAGCCATTGAGTATAATTATAATAATAAAAGCAATGAAAAGCAAGTCAAAGAAAGTTTCCAACATGGAGTCAGAATTGGCTTCCTTCCTGCAAGAGGATCACTGCTAGCAAGGGCAAAGCCTGGTGAACAGGGCAGCACTCAACTCGGTACTCAGTATTTCATCCTTGAGTCTTCTGTTTTCATCATCAACCCGATCCAATCCACTGGCAAGTCCTTTTGGTTCTGTCCTCAAACACGTCCCAAATCTAATAATCTTTACTACCTCTCCATTACATCCCAGTCCAGGGCACCATCATATCTGTCTGGGTACCTGCATTACCTTCCCACCTGCTCCCTGCTTTACTCTACCTCTCTGTTGAATATTCAGAGTGAACTCTTAAAAATGTAAAGCACGTGGCATTCCCAGGCCTAAGTCCCAATGGTTAGGACTCTGCACTTCTACTGCTGGGGGCCTGGGTTTGATCCCTGGCTGGGGAACTGAGATCCCCACAAAGCCTTGTGGTGCAGCCAAAAACCAAAAACCAAAATCCCAAAAATGTTAAGCATAGACCATGTTACTTTTATTTTTTGTTGTTGTTTTTTTTTTTTTAAGATTTTTTTTCCCATGTTACTTTTAAATTAAAAAAACTTTCTATATACAATTCTGTTATTTTTGTTAATTCTCAAGCATTTGATCATCACAATTCACACTGAAAATCCTTGAACAACAAAGCAGTGTACTGTCTTACAGAGAACAAAAACCTGGGAGCTGAGGGCGCCACCTTCTAGAGGCAAGAGAAAGGGTGGGTGGTCAAAGCGAGGAAAGCTAGCAGAGACCTGAGGGCCTGCAGTCAAGGAAGAAGCGATGAAGCTGAGAGCTGAGAGCTGACTTGAGCCTGAGGAGCAATCTGGGCTAAGCAGCGGAGGACCTCTAACTGGCCTGTGAAGCGCTAGAGCCTGTGGCTTCTTCCCACCTCTCCAGCCTTCCAACCCGCTCTCACTCCCTTCCCTAAGTCCTATGCTCCAGCCGTATTCAAATGTCTTTCCTTCCCCAGTGCAGGAAAACGGCCTTGCTTTGCCACCCCTTTTCTCTCTGGAGAAGAACTTCACTAACTTTTCTTCCTAGTAAATATTAAATCAGTTCATACAATCCCCTAACAGATTTCCTCCACTCCAATTGACTTTCTTAATTTTCCCCCTTGCTCTGAAGTTTGTACAGTTGTGAAGCCTATTCTTTGACTCTAAATGACAACTTTGTAATAGTATCTTCCAGTAGTTTTCCAACTTTTGAAGTTTTCTATGTGCCATGAAAATTAATACTTACAATTCTATTTGATGTAAAAAAAAGGGATTATGCTGAACAATGTCCAATTGAGTTGGAAAAGCAATGCAGTCTGCATTATTAACAGTAATGCAGATGTTAACCAGTGGACCAGAAAAGCATCTAAATTTACTAGACATTCTGACAGGTAGCTTCTCTGTTCTGATTGCCTCCTTTTCTGGACTTTGAATCATCACAAAAAGAGTAACACTCATTTCTCCCTACTCCTTCCATGTACATTAATTTTTTCTCTTTGCAACACTTTTCAGCAAAATATTATGGAAATATAGGTAATAAAAAGAGAGCAAAGTCTTATAAGTAAATATTGATTTGCTCAGGGCATGTAAACAGTGTTCAGAGAGAATGCTTTTTATTTTGAAATGAAGGGTTATTTACTTTTTTATCTGTCTACTTCCTGGAAGGAAGACCAACTGGTTTAGATTAAGTCTATTAATTTTTATGTATTTCGTTCACAATTCTATTCTGGAAGGAGGATTCCCACTAGTAAATAGAAACATTTATAAGTATTATAATATCTAAATAAAATTATACTAAGTTGTTTACTTTAGAGTGAATATTAGGGTGTAGTTTTCAGCTCATTGGTGAAATCCTGGCAGAAAGCACATTATTACTGAAGCTAAACTTGAGTTCTTTTATGGTAGGACTGGACAGCTGCTTGCACCTGCCTGAACTTTTTTTCAGGCTAAAGTTATCTATTCCAGAATCCTGTGTCATGCAGTATAAAGCTTTGGTTTCAGTCAGTCACTCACACAGGAGCTTGGATATACTTGAAATTCCTTTTGCAGGAAAAAATTGGCCTAGGCTTTTGGCAGCATTGCTTCTCACACCCAGGCCAAAGTGGGCTGGCTCCTCTGTGGGGACAGGAATGCATATTGGTATCTCACCGTTAAAGTCACAGAAAAATGTGAACCAAATTTATTGCCATTTTGCATTTTGGCCCCCAAAGAGTTCATGTAGTCCAACTTCCTTATTTTACCTTTTTCTTTAACTTTATGTTAGCGTTCTTTACTCCCTTATAGCTAAAGCCCCTAATATAATTGACAGTATAGAACATTTGTATTATAGGTGCCTGGCAGAGGATGTCAAGGCAAAGAAGTAAGATTTAACAGGTCATTCAAGCACTCTCACGTATAATTCCTGGCACTTTACACAGTTGAGCAGACAGATTAGCCATCTGTTTACATATATTCTCCAGATTCTGTTCTTAATTTCATAAAGGAAATAGAGGGCAATGTGCCTGGGCCGCACTTTCCTTAGCCTCTTACTCAAATATATTCACTAAGTTAAAACTGAGGTAGGTCCACTGTGTCTATATACAGGGTTGAAATGAGTATCTTCTGTACAAGCACAGTTGAAGATACTGAGATACTGACCACAGTGTCAAGTGGCCTTTTCTCTGCGCAGATCCGTGTGATAAATTCCTTGAATTTAGTTTCAGGCAGGGACAACTTGTATCCCTTGCTCCTATCAAAATGAAACCCCTGTCACCTATTATGTTTCTGTTTTCACCTTTGCTGCCAGAAAAATGTGAACCAAACTTACTGCCAAGTGTAATGTGATCAACTCTGGTACCTAGAGGTATTTACTTCTCTTGCTTTGTTTCTAAATATTTATAAACTGCCTCAAGTAATTTTAAAAGTATTTAAGTTGACAATAGATATCAAAATTAATAAAATGGGTAAAAAAAATAGTAGGCAGTAAGGAACAGTCAAACTTGCCAGTGACTTGTCTTTGCAAAAGGCTTTTTGTCAATTTTCTCTTTGAAAGGGGAGTGAAAAGATGGTTGCATTTTGTGTCATAAAACCTGGTGGGTTTTTGTTGTTTGCTTGTTTTGTTATTTTTTTTTCAGGTCATGCAGCATGTGGGATCTTAGTTCTCTGACCAGGAATCGAACCCATGGCCCCTGCATTGGGAGTGTGGCATCATAACCACTGGCCCACCAGAAAAGTCCCAAAACTTGATTTTAATTCCCAGCTACACAGCTCACTTGCTAAATAACAGTATAAAAGTCACCTAGCCTTCATTTCCTCATTTCTAAATGGGATATTTATATTGTTAGTCCGCTAGGTTGTTGTGATGACCAAATGAGAAAACAGGGGGAGATGGCTTTCTAAACAGTGAGTCACTCTAGAAATGTTCATTGTTGAAACTTCCCTCCTGTGTCTTGTGTGACCCACTCTACTTTAACCAGCACATGATCTCTGTGGGAGTTTTAAAATAAATTCACAAATTCATAAATAAATTCACAAATTTGTTGATACTCCTCCTTTTAAGAGAACAAGTCTCATTTCTCTCCCCTAAGATCATGTGCTGTATTTAGCAACTTGTTTCTAGCAGATAGAATGTGGCAGACATGACAGTATGATTTGCGAGACCAAGTCTTTAAAAGCACTGTGGCTTTCTCCTTGCTCTCATGCTTAGATTGCGATTGCTCATTTATGAGTGAAGCCAACTGCCAAGTCCTGAGGACACTCAAGCACCCCATCAGAGAGGTCCATGTGATGAGCAAATTAAGTCTCTTGTCAAGAGTCATGTGAGTGTGCCCTCTTGGAAACAGAGCCTTCGGCCCCAGTTAAGCTTTCAGAAGACTACCCTCAAACAATTTCACTACAAACTCCTGAAAGATTCTAATTCAGGACCACACAGCTAAGCTACTCTTGGGTTCCTGGCCCTCAGAAACTCAGTAAGAGAATAAATATGTATTCTTGCTTCAAGTCCCTAAGTGAAAGTGAAAGTCACTCAGTTTTGTCTGACTCTTTGCGACCCCATGGGCTAGTCCATGGAATTCTCCAGGCCAGAATACTGGAGTGGGTAGCTGTTCCCTTCTCCAGGGGTCTTCCCAACCCAGGAATCGAACCTAGGTCTCCTGCATTGCAGGCAGATTCTTTACTGGCTGAGCCCAAGTTCCACCAGGGAAGCCCAAGTTCCTAAGTTTGTGGGTAATTTGTTATATAGCAATAGATAACCAATAAAATGTCCACAGTCACCTAGCCATCCTCCTGGAAAACACTGCTGAGGACCAGTAGCAGACCTTGCTCTTCCCCGGTGTTCTTCAAGGCAATTCTAGTGGCCCAGTATTTTAGAATCATTGTATTGGAAATCACCTCAGAGCCATGTGGTGCAGATTTTTCATTTTGCAGAGAGAAAACTGTGAAGCAGAGAGGTAAAATGAGATATTCAAGGATACTTAAATGAATGGCAAAATTAGGACTAGACCATTCTCTAGTCTTCTTCCATTTTATAGCATCTTTTCCTTTCTTTTCTTAGTAATCTAAAAAGCTTCTTTATTTTTGAGCAGTGATCTAAGAAGAATTGAATGGTTCAAAATTGATACTCATTTTCCCCTTACTCTACCATGCCATCTTTCCTTTGCTTTTTTCACCTGAAAACATGCCAACCAGGACTTCTCTGATGGGATAGTGGTTAAGACTCTGCGGTTCCACTCCAGAGGGAGCAGGTTCATCATCCCTAGTCAGGGAAGTTCCACATGCCACACTGTGTAGCCAAAAAGAAAAGTGAAAAACACACCAACTAGTAGTTTTTAGTGCACATCATTTTACAAAAGAAAGAGTGCTCCCTAGAGAAGGAAATTGCAAACTGAATAAATGTCAGTGTGAACACTTGCTGTTTGTAAGATACTGTACAGAATCAAAGAAGATTAACTAAGTCCAAATTCCAGCACTTATGGTCCTCACAATTTGGTAGGAACAGTGCATTCTAAGCACAGCCAGAACAATGAATTATGGGATATTGGGGAACAGAGAGATCACATGTGAGACAGAAAAAAATGTTTAGCCAAGAGCCCACAGCATATGCTCTATAATCACATTCCCACAGTGATGTCTAAAGTCAGCCTGTGAAATTTAAATGCTAAGATGAAAAAACATATTTAAAAACATTTTTTAGAATAAACTTTTTTAAAAAAATTGAAGTATAGTTGATTTATAATGTTGTGTTAGTTTCTGCTCTATAGCAAAGTAAATCAGTTATGTATGTGTATACATTCTATTTTACATTATTTTTCATTATAGTTTATCACGAATATTGAATGTAGTTTCCTGTGCTATACAGTAGGACCTTGTTTTTCCATTCTATGTATAATAGTTTGCTTCTGCTAATGCCAGACTCCTAATTTATCCTTCCCCCACCCTCCTGTGATTCTCCTTGCCAACCACAAGTCTATTCTGCTGAGTCTCTTTCTCTTTTGTAGATAGGTCCAGTTGTGTACTATTTTAAATTCCACATTTAAGTGATGCCATATGGTATTTATCTTTCTCTTTCTGACTAATTTCACTTAGTAAAATAATCTCTAGGTCCATCCACATTGCTGCAAATGGCATTATTTCATTCTTTTTTATAACTGAATAGTATGCCGTTGTATATGTGTACCACATCTTCATTCATCTGTCAGTGGGCATTTTGGAGGTTTCCATGTTTTGGCTATTGTGAATAGTGCAACTATGAAAATAAGAGTGCATGTATCTTTTTGAATTGTAGCTTTGTCCAGATATATGCCCAGGAATGGGATTGCTGGATCATATAGCAACTCTATTTTTAGTTTTTTGAGGAATCTCCATACTGTTTTCCATAGTGGCTACACCAGCTTACATAGAATAAATTCTAAAATGAATTGTCAGTGGGTAATTGTATTTGTGGATTCAACAAACCACTCTTGAACATCAGGGGCTACGCTAGGCTCTGGGTATACACATAATATTTTATATTCAGACAGAGATGGTTCTAGAAAATCTATGTATGAGAGGATTAAGGAAGCAGAAATTTGGTTGGACGATGGTGCTTGGGATTTTTCTGGGATTTGCATTAGGTAAAATGCTATTTATACAATGGGGTTTAGTGTGGGATTGAGTTGATGGCAGTCAGGACTCTTGGAGCCACTACTACATATAGTATTTAATATCTGTACTATAGGTAACAGTGCTTTTCTCTGGCACCAAATCATATTTGTCTCCTGTCTCTCACATTCTCTCCTTGCAGACTGTGGAAAGAACAAGACTGTAATATTTATTTGCTAAAATTTCAAGGCAGAGAGATCTTGAAGCAGACTCTCTGAAATGACATTGGGGATTTTACTACAGCTACTGATATAGATGGGGCTTCCTTGAGTCACATAGGTTCAATCCCTGGGTTGGGAAGATCTCTTGGAGAAGGAAATGGCAACCCATTCCAGTATTCTTGCCTGGAAAATCCCATGGACGGAGGAGCCTGGCAGGCTACAGTCCATGGGGTCACAGAGAGTCGGACACGACTGAGGGACTTCACTTCTTCACTTCATCAGGAAATAAAGCACCACCATAGCAGTGGTGGAGGTGTGCAGGTTTAGAACAGTTGTCTAGGGGAAATTCCCCGGCAGCCCGGTAGTCAGGACTCCATGCTTCTACTGCAGGGGGCATGGGTTCTATCCCTGGTCAGGGAACTAAGATCCAGCGAGTCTTGTGGCAAGGCCAAAAAACAAAACAAAACAGCAGTTATCTGGGGGTGGGGATACTATGCAGAAATGCATTGCTAGAGTCTAGTCACAGAGATACATATTTGAAGAAATATTTAAGCTTAACTTGTTCTAGGGATGAAGGACACTCTGTTGGGTTTCCCATCCCAAATAAAACATAAAAAAATGAGTTGATATGAACCAGATATAATGCTTTGTGGTACTCTCAACTTGGTAATGCCAGTTTCTAACAAAATAGTTGTTACTCAATTGCAAGACCAAAATTTATTTCCACTCAGTATGAAGTTGGTGGCTGAAGAATCTTAATTACAGTAAGGGGTTAGTAAGCAGAAGACAGCCTTCACAAACCAGACAACATGACTGTTAAGGAAATACATTATAGTTTGTCCTGATGAATAAGTATGAAATCAGTTATCCTGTGTGTTGTAACCCTTTTTCTCTTCAACACTTGTTTCTCATTTTGGGATTTTGTAAGTAGCATAACATATCCCAGTAAAGTAAGTATTATTAAAAAGAACTTTCCAGTTTGAGAGTTGCTTTGGTAATAATCATTACCATACAGTAATAATCATTGCTATGCTATGGTAATAATCATTACCATATTTAATCTTGTAATTTGGATATATTGATTAATCTGGGTATTATGAAACAATGAAGACTTAGGGATTAGGTGACCTGCACAATATCATTTACTTCTAACTAGAATCTTCTGGAAGTCTTAGTAAACCACACAAAAAAAATCACTGTATTTAAAAGTTTGTTTATGTGCATTCAGCAGGAAAGAAGAGGAAATCAATAGCTTCTGACCCCTCTTGCTTTAGAAAATCCCATAAGATATCTTTATTTTAAAACTCAGAGTCTACACTTGAAAAACAAAGGGGCAATATTTTCTGGTCTCAGCTAAATACTTCTTTCTATTATAATATCAAACTATTAAGAAATAGATCAAACAAATTTGATATGTTATCATTTAAATTTTAGATGCTTATTTGAATATGAACTGTATTATTCAAATCTCCCTTTCTCTCTCTTGCACCAGTTTATATATTTATTTATTTTTCTCAGATGATTTTGGTTTATGTTTTCATATTTAATTCAAAACTGGAAATTAAAATTCAAGTTCTATCTTATAGTACCGTGGGGATTTTAGCATGATATTGGCAATTTATCCCAAAAGAAAGAAACGCGTGGGACATGAACATGTTTTTTTTCAAGGATTTCTTTCTCTTGGCATCCTGATCCTGCTGTCCATAGCAGAATTCCTCTTTAGATGATTCATAGGCAAGATTTACATTAGCAAAAAGAAAAGGAGGATTAAGAATGAAGGGAATTATTTACTTCTCATAAATCCCTTGAGAATTTGATAAAACTATGACCTTCTCCCTAGATAAACACATACACATCACGTTTGCATGAAAATTAGGGGTGGGGATGGTCCTCTCTGATCTAAATAATTTGGAAAGAATGAAGCACTTTCTTTCAAAGAGCTCAGTAACTCAAAAAAGGAAGATTAAGTTAGAACAAAAGGATTTTAAGAAATAACTTTCTAAGACCAAGACCAAAAAAGTTAAATTAGCACAACTCTTTTGTTAGACATTTAGAAATTAGAAGTCTGTGAGCTGTGCTTAGTTGCTCCGTCATGTCTGACTCTTTGCGACCCCACTGACCAGGCCCCTCTGTTCCTGGGGATTCTCCAGGCAAGAATACTGGAGTGGGTTGCCATGCCCTCCTCCAGGGGATCTCCCCAACCCAGGGATTGAACCCAGGTCTCCCACATTGCAGGCAGATTGTTTACCATCTGAGCCAGAAGTCTATTGTCTATTGTTTACATACGTAGGGCTTCCACGATGACTTAGCTGGTAAAGAATCCACTGGCAATGCTGGAGACCTGGTTGAATGCCTCGGTGGGGAAGATTCCCTGGAGAAGGGAATGGCTACTCATTCCAGAGTTCTTGCCATGGAGAATCCCATGGACAGAGGCCTGGAGGGCTTCATGGGTTCAAAAAGAGTCGGATATGACTAAGCGCACACACATTTACATGTAGCTGGTTGAAGATGGGAATAGA